TTGCGTATCTTCAACGCAATTAGCGAGTTTGGTAACACGCTGGATGACCTCCTCCAACCCCACCCGATTCTGCAACCGGTAAGTGTTTTCATAGTCTCCTTCAACTTCAATGTTACTGTTGTCTCAGAAAATGTGAAGAACACAGACGGCGATCTGGAGCTCGGTATGTAGTTGATGCCCTCATTTTCACCAAGCGGGATGGTGTGTTAACGTTGCAAAAATACGACGATAACATCTTTCCGGGATTTCAATTTAAGATGTAGAAGGGAGGCATGGGATAGCCGAGCACAAGACAGCAGTGAAGAAGAATGGAGGCAGGCCTCAAATCATAGTTGTTTCCTATTCGGCATTGGCCAGAATAATTAGCCGAGGAACATTGCTCCCGGTGGCAGTACCGAATAGCCGAATCGCTGCGCAACTAGCGCCGGTAGCCACCGCTGGTGAGAAAATCGTAGCAGTTTTTTGATTAGGACTCGGCAGTGAAACTGTTATTGCGGCGGGTGTGTCCATGTGCAGTAGTTGTGTGGACTGCCGCGTCGGTTATTGCAAAATTTCGGCGGCTCTGTTGTGACAGTTAGTCAGCTGCTCATGTGGACCCGACCTATGAATGCTCTGTCCCCCAGGTGTTGTTTACCCCTGTTCCAATTTTGTTGGGCTGTCACATTCGTATATTTGGTATGATCTTAAACTCCTGAGATCTTTATTGGACCCAATAAATATCCCCAAATATATAAAAGTTCGCTTAATTAATGGGATCACAAGATATTGTATTGCGTTCAAGGGATGGACAAAAGTCCACTATAAACCTTTGGAAGTAGTGCCTTGTTGTAAGACGAGATATAAATAAACGGGATGTTGTTTTTTCGAAATGCAGTTCTATGATATGACTGACGTTTTAACCTGCGGTTAAGGTAGTTACACAATTATATTCGTTTTGCTGAGAACCATTAACCTCCTGAAGCACATCCAACTCATTTGGCATGCATTCTCATACTGCATTTGGATACGATGGTTTGTCTCACCCCTGTCCAAAGGGGTTTTACCTATGACGCACTTTAACTTAACCAATCAGCCGACCAACTGTTTGGTGTCGACCTGGCGTCCGGCCGCAGTGTTTACGTGCCGCACTTTCGTATCCTTTCCACAGCCGTGATCGATCTCTTTTCCACACTCACGGCACGCCCTCTTTGGACGCTGCCGGGAAACCATTTGTTTGCATTCCTTAGCATCCACATCACTCTTCCCCCCAACCACTTGTTTCACCTTTTAGGATCAGTTCCGCAGCCATAAACTATCGGCCAAGGCCTCTCGCCAGCTCCAGGATGTTTTCTCCGTCCTCGCGGGAAACCTACCCGATTGGTTGGTCCAGCTCATGTCCACATGCCCCTTCCTGTTCCCCTTCTCCATCCGCCAGACCTTCTTCTACGTGCACAACTTTGACCGCGAACGCACAATCCTGCACTTACAGGTAGGCAATGGGATGTTTTTTAATTAAAGACTACAGTCGAAGCCAATTTTTCCGGTAACACCCTTGATCTGCATGCTCTATTTCTCCATTTCCTGTGACAGGACTCCACCACCAACGGTGGCTCCGATTCAGACACCTCCCTCCTCTCGCCGTCCACGTCCTCCTCGCCGTTTGGTAATCTGGTGGCCGCACCCTCGTTCTCCGGTTTTAACTCGCACCAATTACCCTTATCCGTTCCCCCGGGCTCGGCTCTCCAATTGCTTGC